CCAGCCTGCACCTAACACGCAAAGCCCTGAGGCCGCCGAACGGGACGGGCCCTGCCGTTGGGCCAGGAACGCTTAGCAGGCACCCGCCGCTCTGCTTGGGGCCCGCTAGGGCAGCCCGAAGACCAGCGGGGGCACAGAACTCGGACAGGCGTCTCAGCCGAGGCGGAGTCTGCCGCAGGGAGGGACCAGCGGGGAGAAGAGAAGGCGACGAGATCCCGCGGGCGTTCCACCCCCGAGGCCGGCCGGGCCTAAAGGCAACTTAGGCCACTCCTGTGCCCAGGTCCAAGGCGTCGGGAGGACTCACGTGACCGGCTCCGAGGCGGGAGGGGGGCCAGGGAGACTAGGAGGAGGCAAGATGGCTGCCACCATCGCTGCCGGGTGCTGGTGAGGAGCCCTTGGAGCTGCCGCAGTTTGCGGAACGGAGCTAACCGCCGCCGTCGTAGTGTCTCCCGGGACCGGAGAGGCCGCCCTCCCGCCCGCGAGCGCCGAGTTCCGTCGGCTGCGAGGTAAGTAGCGGGGGAGTGCAGAGCTGTCAGTCAGACAAAGGGGTGCGAAGGAGCCGCCTTGACCCCCGGCTGCGGGCCCTGCCCTGTCTGGGGCTGGGCCGGGCGTGGTCGCTGTGCGGGCCGGGTTAGCTTCCCGGCTCCGTGTGCCGCCCTTTGCCTGGCGGGACGCGGCTCCTTGCTGCCCGGATTCGGCGGCGGTGAGGCTGTAAAGGGAGAGGCGGCGCCCACCTGCTCCATCTTCCCAGCTCCCACAGCCGCGCTGGGGGTCGTGTATTTAGAGCAAAACGCTTTCCGGGCTCGTGAACGGGCCTGCTCTTGGTCCATTTTCACCCCCACCTATTGTGTAGTATATTGTTATTTACACACCTTTACATCCACGTCCCGCCCCCGTGCAGGGAATCGTCATTTACACTCGTCCACCACCCCGGGATATTACAATCTTGAGTAGGTACTGTCAGCCACACTACAACATCTTTCTTCTTAATGTATTTTTTCCATTATTGCTAATATGGAGAGACAAACATTATATTGATGTAAAGTATAACTCTTATTAACCTGCATACCCATAACCCCCCCCTTCAATAAACCTCCCCACCCATAGGGAAGATATTTTTTAAAACCTAGTAGGCAGAGCAGGTGGAAAGAAATATAGCAAAGGAAAAGAAAATTGCATTTCAAATCCCCAAAACCATATACAAAATAAAAGTACTTAATTCCTGATTTACTGGGTAGACTATTTTTAAATGTCTAAAATATATTTCAGGAATAAAGCATGTGAAATAATATATTATATAGGACCAGCTTCAAGCATGTTAAGATCTCTTTGGTTAATAACATACAGTGTTGAGTTAAATGTGTTCATTATAGAGGACCTGCCATTTAAAGGCACCATTGAAATTAATTTAGTTTATAACAATATGAAATGATTATAGAAATATGATTATAGCAATTATGAAATATTAGTGTATACCATTTTTCTATTTTACAGCTTGTGATTAATATAAATATGAGAAATTAAGAAGTCTCTGTTTATTTGAAGCCTTAATTAAAAAAGTGAACTATAAAAATGGGAAACTGACAATCTGCTGCAAGGAGTTAGTCTAAAACAGAGATAGCACAAGATGCACTAGATGACTGAAAATGGTAATTTAGATGCCAGTTCAGTAAATTGATCATCGTGAGTGGACGCCTGCACTGGTATGAAGCACTGTTTTAAGTAGTCACTAGGGCTACACATAGGCAGATAGGTTGTCCATGTGGAGCAGTTAGGAAGATAGTGGTCTTAGTGCAGTTACTTTTTCAGGGTGAATAAATGTGTTCTTGCATACAAGATAAGAATCAAAACCATTTTTAAATTAGATTTTAATAAAGTATGTGTCATTTTTATTGCTAGATTATTTGCAGTCTCAGAGGGATTGTAGTATTAATCTGTATCTTAAAAAATAATGAGGAGTCAGTCTTGTAGCACCTTAGAGACTACCAGATTTACTAACTAGGGCATAAGCTTTTGTGGGTAAAAACCACTCCATCTGATGAATTGGGGTGGCAGTTACAGAAGTAGGAGTGTATGTGAAGAAAGTTGCTTATGTTAATGAAGCTACTCAAGTCAGGGCGGAAGTGGGTCATTGCTATATAGCATTTGGTCTGGAGATGTGAATATTCAGAGAGAAGAAACTGCCTTTGTAATGTGTTAACCGGTTGAGATCCTTATTCAGTCCTAAACTGATAGTGTTGACTTTGCAAATTAATTCCAGTTCAGATGTCTCCCCTGGTTACCAGTTTTGAAATTCTTTTGTAGAAGGATAGCTACTTTGAAATCAATTATAATGTGCAGGGAGGTTAAAATGTTTCCCT